ATTTATGTTTTGAAAGCAAACAGATCAATGGAAAGCCTGTGGAACAAGCTTTTGGAAAGTCCGTGTTGACATTCATGTACTTTGTACTGTAACGTCCTGGGCAGTTGTTCACGGGTTTCCCGGACAAATGGGAAGAATGGTTAGATTCGTTTCCACGCGTGTTGCAGACGTGTAGCTACGCTTCCATGCGAGGATGTTGTGACATTTCATTTCAGAAATTCTGGTTAGGCTTTCATCCAGACTATCTAACACCTTTTTCCCGATTCACCGAGGTCAGTGTAAATCTATGCTGTTCGGGCTCTCTGAGGCAAAGGGACTTTGAGTTCCAAATATTTTCAGCCAAAGGGTGAATTTAGCACAATTCTTAACCTAGTTCCTCGTCTGTGCCGATCAGATGCGAGTAGCCGGCGCGACTGCGGCGTTTCACTGTCACCGTCTGGCTCTGCGTGGCCACGATCCGCTGGAAGCTGGTGCCATCCCACGATGTCCTTCAGTCCTTCTCTGCAGCGCGACTCGGAACGACCAGAAATGTTTCGACAAATTGTTCCTAATCCCAAATTACCAATCTGTTTTCTTTTGCACATTCTTTTATATGTTGCTGAAGTCAGCATGTTTCACAACTCATTATATATGTATATTGTCAAGGACACTTTCTTTAAGCAGAACAATAGATTTGGGTTCCAGCTGCCCCGTATTACCTCTTTGTAATAGTTGCTGCGCTAAATTTTTAGGCGTTTCAGGATAGCTTTGAACTTTTATTGATGGATTATTTATTTGAAGCTATCTGTCTTAGACATCTTAGGTAGCTGATGCCGCCACGAGCTGTTTCACCTTGCTGGAAAGAAGAGGAACCTAGAAGGTCAGTGCCTGTGGGGAATAGTGGAGAAACAGAGAAATGCTCACCCCTGGGGAGGAAAAAGGGCATGTAATTCCCATTACATGGATGCTCATACATGATGATGATACTTATTGTCTGTAAACGATGCTTCACAAGCCAGTGTGCAGGAGTAGCTCGGGCTGTGAGGAAAGCTGTTATTAGTGAAGGCACGCTTTAGTACAGTGGCGATGGAGAGCCAGTGGGGAGGGTTTGGCTCTTGCAAGAGGCTCTTTGGGAATCGGGCAGTGCGCGCCGACAGCTTAGGGGAGTGCCACATCAGGGCTGTAACCTCCAGCCTCTTTGCCTCTTATAATTACATTTGTCGCATCGTGTCGTAAAATGAGTTATTAGATCTTTGTTGCTGAAATAGTCTTCCCATGTAATTGGTGCGGGTCTCTGCCCTGGCTCTATAACAGAAGTAATAATCAGTTTTATCTCTCTTTATGCTGTAGGTGCCTACAAATGCTTTGACCGAACAGTAAGTCAGGTCCCATTACTGCGTTACTGCACGTCGCAAGTCTCGCTTGCCGAGCGTGGCTGACCTCCGCGATCGGCCGTGCGAGAGTTTCCGTGCGGTGAGAGGAGGACGGTGGCTGCCTTCTGCAAGCGCTTGCTTTCTTAGGGGCTACAAAAGCTCGGGGAATGTAGGTAGGGTTGATTGCTGTCGTTGATTGCTGAGTGGAGAAAATACATCACCGCCTGGTCTTGCTCACCAGCAAGAGTGAGACGTATTTTGAGACAAAAAAGAGTAATGGGACTTAAGGAAGGGGAAAAGTCTTAAGTGGAACCGTGAATATGTCCGCGGGTTTCCTGCCTCAGGTTTTGCTAATCCTCCCTACTTTTTTTTCCCTGTCTGTTTTATTCCCATGGACCATTGCACTTGTCCTCCTGTTTTGCTGAGCAGTGCTGTATATCAGCTGGCGCTCTGTTTTTCCTGGATCTCACAACCCGAAGTCTCTCTGGAATGTTCCTCCAGCTATTTGCCTTGCAGAGCTTCAGCTCCCTGCTTTTGCAGGGCACTCTGGTATAAATCCCTCATCTAACAGATATCATAGTCTGACAAACAATAAATTGGAGAATTCGTCCCTTGCATCTGTGTATCTTGTGTGCCTAGTTAGAGGACTCCCCAAAATCCATGAAATTAGCATTCATACTACTTGTTGTTACTTAAGTACAGGATGATCTCCATGTTAGAATTATTTTAAAAAGTAGTCCAACAGATTAGAATCATTTCAGGTTTTTTCAATCAATATATACAGGAAAAAGTAATTTTAAACACAGTGAGCCTTTTTTTCTTAATTTCCCCAGTGACTGAGTATGCACCAAGGTGCGAGGTGGTGCTCTCTCTCCTCTATACTCTGTGTGAATGTACGTGTTTATCGACCTCTCTGAAGGGCATGGGGTGCACAGATGTCTCTTTCAGATTTCATCTTCTACATCAATGAAAACATTGGAATTTCCCCGGGCTGCACACTCTGAGGCACTGTGCTTACACTCACTGGCTTTTTGCTGTCCAGAAAGGGCAGATCCGCTTACACGTGTTGCTTCAGATCGCTTCCATGTACGTTGGATGCGTGTACAAGCTTGTAACTAGTGCCTAAATGTGAACTGTAAACGTTTCTCTTGAGGAAGCATTTCTAGAAAATACAACATTGCCAGCACCTTTGTGACCAGGCTCTCCAGCCTCTGAGTTTTCGGGTAGCTACTTGTGTGCCTGAAGCAGGTTTTGGTTACGTGGCAAGTAACTGCAGCTGGCAATAGCATTCCGTACTGAGGAGCTACACGAGTCCCCGGGATGAAAGCGAGCTGCCCAGCTCTGCTGGTAACTATCGTTTCTTGGCAGTCGTCCGTCTGCCCGCTGGCCGTTTGAGATAACGCTCTTGAAGAACGGGCACGTTGGCCTCTGCGACAAGGGAACCGCAGGGACGACAGTCCTCGCAGCCAACGCATCTTCCAGCTCTTCGTCGTACTGGCCAGTTCATCTTTGCAAGAGTTTTAGAAAATTGGTTGCCTCTGTTTAGTCTTTGAGCTAGCTTGAGTCATCTCTTCCAGGAAAATCCTGTGTAACCAGCTGTGGCTGTTATGAAGTGTTGCTCCATAAATACCAGCTGCTTATAGCAAGCAGTCCAGCACAAGTGTCTTGTACCAGGACTCCTATTACATCTGCATTGACACGAGATACTAAATGTTGTAGGAAAACGTTATATTTTGCAGCTTTATCAGAAACTAACGCTTGATTTTTCACAAAGGCCAGTACAATTTTCACGGAAAAATTTGCAAGGTGCAGGTGGTGGCGTATAGCCACGCTTGTGAGACTGGAAGCATCCCAGTGTCTAGAGAAACTCCTGTCGTTCCTCTTTGAGTGAGTTTGGGCATGTCGTACGATCCCTGCTCACACGGCGATATTGCCATGTCACTGCTAAGACCAAAACCTCCGAACGGCTTGAATGTAAGTTTTGCTTTGATGCTTTCTTTCAGAAAAATGGAGCAGCAGAACTTCATGAACAGAGTAGCGAAGCCGCTCTTTTAGCTGAAAGTAAAACAGACTTCGTCTCATCTACATAATGCTGCAGAACTAGAGAAGGGGGCTCGGGGATTTATTTCCCATGCGTGTGGGCGCCAAGGTTTTGAGTCGTACATTTGAACTGGGGGGCTCGCAGGGGCTTGGTTAAAAATTTAACCCACAACTAACTGGGATGTCCAAAGACCTGTCCATTGGAATGCAATGACCTGAACCATGGGTAGATGCTGCAAATAAGGCTCGTCCCTGTGGAAGAGGCGCTGGAGCCGGGCTTGGAAAGCATACTGATGTGGTGTGCTGCAGATGCATGCTGAGTGTGTGATTTTCAGCGTTCAGTGCCTACATTGTTAGATAAGCGGATTAGAAAACATTGCATAAAGTGGCATTGCAGGGGGCTGTCTTTATACCTGCTACTTGCCTTGTTTTGCAAACCCTGATTTCACAGCGGAACCCATTCAGAGCTTGCGCTGAGATTGTTCACATGTATTGGCCTTTTTAAGAATCAAGGGGTCACAGTTTCAGATTCACTTAATTCTCCAAGTAGTGATATTTTTCTTTTGGGATCGGGGCTGGTGGCAGGCATGTGGGTTTTTTTAATCTAAACTGAGTTTACTCTTAAATATCTGGGGCACGGTGAGCTCCTAGAGTATTGGAAGACGGTTGGGTTCGCTTTCTCTTACTTTGCAGTGGGTTAAAGAGCTCAGGTGTGATTTCCCGCTCCTTAACTCTCCGAAGTTTCGAGTTTACAAGCGGAAACCATTTGTCTGAAGTTTATACACATGAATCCAGGCTTGTCAGGCCTGCTTGCAAAGGCGGAATGAGAAACCCGAGTTCAGGGGACATACCTTTGGATCTTGCCGGTCACGGAGGGAATTTGCCAGCCGGGATCCCTAGTCAACGCCGCCGTCTGAACGCGCTCACTCCTCCCGTCCCCGGGCCGGCGCGGAGCAGCCGAGCTGCGTGCTGAGGAGGTTGCTTGAGCTGTGGGGCGAGAAGTCTCTTCCTTTGGAAGCTATTCGCTGCGTGCTGCTGGAGCTGCTGAAGCAGCCTGGCGAGCGCCCGTGCTTCTGCAGCCGTGTTTTGTCAACGGCCCGACGCTTTCCAAGCCCGGGGGTCGTCAGTCCCAGAGGCACAAGGGTTTGCAGTGGCGTGGGCTCTGTGGTGTGGGCTGGAGGGCCGGCAAGCGCCTGCTGCGCTGGCGGGATCCCCAAACTGGTCTGTGCTGCGATGAGGGAGCAGGGGCCGGGCTGCTCCTCGGAGCACTCTGGGCTCTTCCCGCTCCGGGCTTCTGAATTTTGCCTTCTCAAAAGTCAGTGTTTTGAGGAATGGTTTCCGCTCTCCCCGGTTCTGTGTGGAATTCAGGAACGGACCAAAAACAGCATCGGTTTTGGGGATGGTAGGGAGTTAATTTAAATAAACCCAATTCCATCTCTTATGTGGGCTGTCGGTTATTGAGTCCTTAGACCTGCACTGAATTCCAATTTCAGAGCTCTGTCAAAGGATTTTTAACTTGGAGCGTTTTAACTTGGATATTGCACGTAACTGCCGGCGTCTTTGCCTGACGTCTTGCGGGGCTCTCTTCCCCCATGCTCTTGTCTGCAGGGACACGTGTGACAATCGCATGACCTGCTCCACCAGCTCTGCCTCCAGCCTCGACACCGGTGCCCAGTGCCAGGAGAATAATGGGCAAACGCAGAGCACCAGATGGGACGAACAGCAGAAAGTGTTCGCCCTAGAGCAAGTCTGTGGTGTCTTTAGAGTGGACCTGGGACAAATGAGATCCCTTCGCCTCTTCTTTAGGTAACGTATTCATGCGTGTGATATTTGCGTGTGCTCTGGATCAGTGCGCGCTGGGCTCCGGGGGCAGATGGCTTCTGCAATCCTCCTTGGAAGTCTTTACCTAATGGTTGTCTCCCGGAAAGCGAGTGTCAGCCTTCCCCAGGAGAGCCTCTGAATTACAGTTATGGGGCCTCAAGGATTTTTTTCCCTAGTAAGGTAAAGGTTGCTCTTAGCTATCTTGCCAAAAATGTTTAAAATAACCTGGAGGTGTGGAGAACGTCTCTTTATCTGTGGTACCTTCTCCCTTGCCTGCCCCTCACCCAGGCTCCTCTAGGGTCTTGCTGCTCTTAGCCTCCTCAGTTATCTTTCAAATTATTACAAAAGTTACTAAAAACATTTTTACTCTCTCTTTTTGCTCTCGCTCCCCGCTTCTTTAGACAATGCGGTGTGCGACCAGGTCAGCTCATCGCTAGGAGCTGACTTTGCGTACTGCCTTAGCGTTGCTGTGGCAGACTTCTTGGGGTTTTTTTCTCCAGGGAAGACAAAATTTAATTCCTTCACAGGGTGGAAGGGTAAAAGAGTGCCGTTACCAGGCACGAGTGGAGCTTCTTGGGGAAAATGGTCACGATGGCCCTGTCATAGAATCATAGAATGTCTCACGTTGGAAGGGACCCATAAGGATCATCGAGTCCCGGAGCTGTGAAATTACTGCTGCGCCCTGTTTTAAGGAACAACTTGATGCTACGCTTCTTTGTAATTTGCTTTCCGCTCTCTCTCATCTGCTGTTCCCCGTTCCTGCTGGGCCCCTCGTTATCCTGGGTGGTAAATGCAGGTTGTTCTTCCCCCTTGTTCTGCCCCACAGCGATGAGGCGTGCACCTGTGGACAACTGGTGGTTGCGAGCAGGGAGAGCCAGTACAAGATCTTCCATTTTCACCATGGTGGCCTGGATAAACTGTCCGAGGTGTTTCAGCAATGGAAGTACTGCACAGAGACCCATCTCAAGGACCAGGTACCTGAGCAAGGCTCATGGGGCAAAGGGGGCTTTTCCAGCAGACGTTTCACACTTAGGTTTTTAGCCAGGGGAGTGTGTTGGAGAAATGAAGCTATGAGTTCGTGTCACCAAGTCAGGCAGAAAGCTACGATGTGTTGGATGTTGTTTAGGATGCAACTGCGCGCCGGACGCGAGGTCTCTGTTGTACTTGCTTGTCCCCATCCATTTCTGTTCTGCCTGTGGAAGATGGGGGAAGATAATCCAGGAGACTTGCTTAAGCAGTTATTTTGCTAGACCCAACAGGTCAGCACTATGCTTTAGGCATGTAAGGTGGCTGGGAAATCTGCAGTGGTAGGTCTGAAATTCTGTCAGAGTCTTTCATCCATTTTGTGAAGCGTAGCAACACTGCATTGGAAAATGTTTTGACAAGGCATCTTGCCATATTTTGTTCAATCTACATACAAATGTGATAAGAGCTCTTTAATTATCTGTTTAAGATACTGTATGTGCTTATTAGAAACAGTGATTTTTAAATTTCCATCCTTCCCACAGAGCCCCCTGCTGCTTTTCTTATTATGGTCGCATGGGCTCACTTTTTGCATTGAACAACCTTTGATTTTTAAATTAAATGTCAGCTGCAGTCTTGCACTGGGATCATGAGTGCCCTTAGAGAGCCTGGCAGTGCAGTTCCCTGCTTGCCTAACAGCAATCCCTTTGTATATGGCCAATCATATGTAATTTATTGCATGCATTCCTGGCAGGGTGAAGTTTTGCTGTAAGCAGCATTAATTCAGTTTCAGGTCAGGGATAAGATTGGGGGAGGAATGGAAACAATTTTTTTTTAAGACGAAGCTGTTTTGTGGTACTCAGATTTTTAATTATTCTAATCACTCTTGCTATTGTAATGGTTGGAATTTAAAAAAAAAACTTCCCAAGTGCAGCGCCTCAGTGCTTAATCCTACACGAACCATGCAAAAAGGTTTTCCTGCTCTGAAAATTGCTGGGTTTTATACTCTGCTGCTACCACTGACTCCTACCTCCAGTTTTTTTGTTTCGTTTCCCCCCGTTCAGCAGCTTACTGATGAGAAAACATGTATGCAGTTCTCTATCCGCCGTCCCAAGCTGCCCTCCTCGGAAACCCACCCGGAGGAGAACACGTACAAGCGTCTCGATGTGTCTGCCTGGCTCCATCACCTGAATGAATCCGGACAGGTGGAAGAGGAGTACAAACTGCAGAAGGTGAGAGGGCTGGCTGCTGCGGGTTTGATCCTTCCTCTCCTGCCGCAGAGCGCGAGTCCCCAGGTGGAAGCTGCAAGAGTTTGCTTTGATGCTGGGAGCAAGAACGGGGTGCTTGAGAGTATAAAGACTGGCGTGTAGGGCTTGGCTGGAGGTCTTGCTGGGCCTGCAGATGAGTCCGCCACGGGCAGGATGGTAGAGCATCTCTCTGACCGAGGAGGGCGAGCTGTCCGGCTTCTGCTGCCAGCTGGAATTAGTAAACCAAAGCGTGCAGTGCTAAGACGTGTTTGCAAAATGCAGTGTGAGCAAACCAAAGAAAGAAAAATTGAGATTACTGTATGAAATAATGCAGGGCTTGTGGGGGACCACTGGGTCCAGGTCCTGAGAGAGAAGTTTGCAGTGAAATGCAGTGTCTCCAAGATTGGGGATTAAGCCGTGACATGAGAACGACACGTTAATCATAGAGCCTCTCCAGGGGGGGTTATTGACATTGAAATGAGCCCGATTTGTGTCTTGTCTGGGAATAGAAGGCCAGCACTTTCCCTCTAAACATGTGCAAATTGCAGGAGCTTGAATCAAGGCTTCACTTGTCAGGAAAGAACTGCAAAGCCACCAAAGCATAGTAGCTGGCAGTTTCTTGTTGCTGTTTTTGGGAAGGTTAAAACTGTACCAGTCATAACTTTTGCTCCTTCTTCCAGGCCATTTTCTTTGGTGGGATCGATATTTCCATCCGTGGGGAGGTGTGGCCCTTTCTGCTGCACTACTACAGCTACGAGTCCACCTCTGAAGAGAGGGAGGCACTGAGACTGCAGAAGAGGAAAGAGTACTTTGGGATCCAGGAGAAAAGGTAACAGACCGGCTTCATCCTCTGCTGCTCGTATCTCCTCAGGTGACGTACAGAGTCTCTGCCTCCTTCGCTTCAGGAGAAGCTGATCGGAGTAGAGAAGTGAGAGGGATGGTAAAGGAGGTGTATCAGGCGCAGCTGACCTCTTGAGGGTCTGGAGCTAATACCGTGTAGCTCGAACGTTGTCTGACTTGGGGTCTTGAAACAGGCTCGCCATTACCACGTAGGGAAGCTTATCTCACAGGCAAGGCTACAGGCTTAGCGTGCTTGGTTTGGAACACTGAAGGTGAAAGCGGGATCCTGTATTTCTTTATAAATATATCTGCTTGTAAAAATAGGGAAGAAGAAGGGATATCTAATTCAAGGAAGTTATTACTGCAAGAACTGTATGTTGTAAACTAGATGTGGGTACATTTAAGCCGGGGAGGGACAGAAGTATTAATTAGGAGACTATCAAAACAGAGTGGTGGGTTCTGGTGTGCCACCCACAAGGAGCAGTGGAGAGCAGAATCCAACTGCTTCTGAAGTGGAGTTTGTCACAGAAAACACATCATATCATTTCATTTATAACCCAGGAGGCTCCTTCTAGTAATCTGTTTGGACAGAAAATCTGCTGTTCTGAGCAGACCCGCTTGTGTGTTTTTCTGGTGATGAGACAACTCTGTACAGGAATAGTTCTTCTCTGAAAACTAAAGCTGAAATGAGGCTTTTTGTTCCTTGTGGCAATCGTAGTCCTCTCTTGGCCACGCACTCCTGTTGCTGCTCAATTTTCAGGCTTTCGATGACTCCAGATGAACAGAAGGATTTTTGGCGTAAAGTACAGTTCACGGTAGATAAAGACGTCGTGAGGACTGACCGCAGCAACCAGTTCTTTCGAGGGGAGGACAACCCAAACGTGGAAACTATGAGGTGCAGTGTCTGATTCTAGTGTCCCAAACACCATGTCCTACTGAATGTAAAGAAAACTCGGTAAGCCCCCCTGGCCCAGGCTGCCTAGGTCGCTGCCTTGGGAATGCTGAAGAGCACCGTGCGTACGGTGACAGGTACCAATGATGCAAAACCAGGGACTTCCTCCCCAGTGCTTTCACTGCTGCTGTTGCCATTCACTTCTTGATATAATAACCCTGCTCCCATCACCTAACTTCCCTGCATACATAGGCACGGAAGAGCTGTGAGCCTTCTGTGGCTATGAGAGGGTCACAGGAGCTGCAGCAGGGTTGCGGGCAGTTGCTTGAGTCTGTGGTTCTCCTGATGGGGTGGAGGACGAGCACACCAGGGTCTGCTTCATGGGTGTGCAACTTGTAACTGTCTCTGCCTACAAAACAGTTGGATTTCATCTAACAGCATGGCTTGGAGCCTCATGGATGTGTAGGCATCATCTCTCCCTTCATTTCTGTCCTCTTAGTCTTTTTAAATTCTCATTTTCTTTTTATATTTTGGTGTCTGTGTATGCAAAACCTTCTCCTGGAGTTTATTTCACTGGACTGATGTTTGCAACAGGGTTTATCTGTAGGTGTTAAAGCACCTTACAGTAGGGTCGTGTGTCTTTGTACCTGAGATGAACTGTGTTGCTTGTTCCTGCTGCACTGCTCCCAGCGGGCTGGCCTGCTGTTGGAAAACAGGAGCCTAAGGAATTCCATTCAAATCTTTGTCTTAGGCTGCTGCGTGCTGTTCAGAGTTCTTCTTGTCCATCCAGGAGCCTCTCTGGATTGATGCAAAATGTTGTAACCCTAAAAAATGAGAGCTCCAGTTAGGTATAGTGTGAGTATCTTTGTTATGCTTCTAGACAGAGCTCTTTTAGGGAAAGCGATTCTGTGGGATGCAACGTGCTGTACAGGTGCTCAGAAGTTCACAAGCCTCCGGGTGCAATTGCACGTTAATTTTTTAGATGGCAGGAATGTTCTGTTGCTCCTCTGCACTTTGCCTGACTCAGCCTGTGTGGGGGGAGTTGGGGTAGAAGGGGAAGGGCGCTGCGCTCAGCTGTGACGTGCCCTCTCCGTGTCTCACCTCTCCCTTTGCATCTCTTCTCCAGGAGGATCCTGCTGCACTATGCAGTATTTAACCCAACAATTGGATACTCCCAGGGGATGTCCGACCTGGTTGCCCCACTCCTGGCAGAGGTCCTAGATGAGTCGGATACTTTCTGGTGCTTTGTAGGATTGATGCAGAACACGATCTTCATCAGCTCACCCCGGGATGAGGATATGGAGAAACAGCTGGTGAGGCTGAATGCTGAGCTCCCTTCAGCCCTGTCTGTAGCTTCTCCTCTCCCCGGTCAAATTAGAAGAATTCTGTAAAGCAGTTACCTGGGCTGTTGCGTTCCAGCGTGCCGAATCACGCTCCAAAGCCACAAAATACCTGATGGATAAAATTGATCCTGGGTGATTTGGGCACTCCAGAGGCAGTTATAGCCAATAAATTGACAAAGTAAAGTTACCTTGGCTATGCTAAAGGGTGCTTCAAGGGTGATTCAAGGAATCTTTTATGATCAAATGTATTTAGGATGCTGCTTGCTTTGTCTTCGCGCTTCTCTCAGGCAGTGAAGACTCACTGGTTCGGTTTTGTCCTGATTCTGGGGCATTTGGTGTGAATGAGGCAGAGGAGTTGACTGAGCTGCAGCCCTTTGTGGGGTTTTTTTTTAAGGTCTTAATATTTTTGATAGATTTTTTAAATTATCTCCAAATGAAAACCCTTATATATCTGACAGAGTTTCATAAAATAAGGTGATCTTGTTTAAAAATGGGACCTTTATAGATTTTAACATGAATGTCAGTTGTTTTCTGGTTAAGATCCTGAAAAATCCATTCTAAACCTGAACAATCTTGTCCAGGTCATGATGGCACCAATTTAAAGTGGTAAACTTGTGGTGGAAACCCCATGGGAGGCTGCTGGTGAGGTGCAGTTAGTCAATGTACAGATTTATGCACTGTAACATGCCTCTATGGTCAGGCTTCCCAAAATCACTTCCATATTGCTTGGCCTCTACTGAAATGAAATATTGCCAGAGATAGCTATGCCCTTTCTTTTCTCTAGTTTTTTAAGGCTCGAGCCGCTTTCCTCAGCCTGAATATCTCCCCTCCTTTCCTTTCACAATGTCGCTGTCACGGGATTTTCTTTTCACCCTTCGTCCTTCCTTGTGAAAGAGCTGCCGTGGCCTTTAACGATAGATCCGAGCGTGCTCCTGGCTGTGCTGTAATAAACAGCCCGTAAAGCTGGCGCGTTTTTGCGAGAGAAGAGACCCGCGGCCAGCTCTGCGGGAGCCCAGGTCTGGCACGCGGTGGGGGGTCCCCGGGATGGCGGGTGGGGACGGCCGAGTCCTCGTGCACGAGGCAGCGGCTGAGCTCAGCGCATCTTTTCCAGATGTACCTGCGAGAGCTGCTGCGGCTCATGCACCCGCGCTTCTACCAGCACCTTTCTTCCTTGGGAGAGGACGGCCTGCAGATGCTTTTCTGTCACCGTTGGATCCTCCTCTGTTTTAAACGTGAATTTCCAGATGCTGAGGCTTTGCGCATGTGGGAAGCGTGCTGGGCTCACTATCAGGTTAGAGCTGGAGACGGGCACAGCGCGCGCTGTGTGTCCTTTGCTGAATCCTCGCCGTCTCAGCAAGTGTTGCAGAATTTCCTTAAAGGCTCTTAGTAGCAAAGTATCCAAAAAAAGCAGGTGTTACAGAGGGTCTATAACTATCAAAGAGGTTTATCTATGTAGCAAGGAGGGTGGACACCCCCGTCTCTCCTACTTGAGGATGTCCAGGCTTCCAAAGGAGGTTTTTCAGAAAGTGCTGAATATCCACTTCTGAAGTTCAGACTTCTCTTACACAGCTGGAAAATGTCTTCCCCGAAATCACTAGCCTGCTTTGAAAGCTGTGGTCCAAACCTTGCTGCCGTGCTGTAAAGGCAGGAGACTTTGACTCAGCTGTGATTCAGAATTCACCAATAACTCACTTTCTGAATATCAGTAGGCAAAACTGGAAGGAGCACAAAATCTCTGCTGAGGACATGCTTGTGGAGGGCGGGGAGGTTAAGTCAGACCTCTGCCTCCACCTGCTGTACTCCAGCCCCTGTTTTCTCATTGCAGACCGACTATTTCCACCTCTTCATCTGTGTGGCCATCGTGGTGATTTATGGGGATGATGTCATTGAACAACAGCTGGCCACTGACCAGATGCTGCTGCATTTCGGCAACCTGGCTATGCACATGAACGGAGAACTTGTACTCAGGAAGGTGAATGCCCGTGTGCTGACGTGGGCTGAGTCTCAGGTCCAAGAGATGAGTCAGAGCATTGGGAAAATCGGGGTCTGATGCTACATAGAATCATAGAATCGTTTAGGTTGGAAAAGACCTTTAAGATCACCCAGTCCAACCATTAACCTACACTACCAAGTCTACTCTAAGCCAATCAAGGGTAGACCAGACTGAACCATGTCCCACAGTGCCACCTCTGCCCGTTTTTTGAACACTTCCAGGGATGGGGACTCCACCACCTCTCTGGGCAGCCTGGTCCAATTCTTGACCACCCTTTCCGTAAAGAAATTTTTCCTAATTTCCAACCTAAACCTAAACATCTTCTGCATCTCCTGTATCCCCCTGCTTGTCTGGAGCCCGGGAGGGTAGGATGCTGTTGTTTGCCCGGAAACAAGTTCTGCAGAAATAAGAGGTAGTTGCAGAGTGCTTAGGAGGTAACGGTACGGCTGGGATAGCCCTTGCACATGCTATGGGGAAACGGCAGACAGAGCTGTTCCTCGCCATGCCACGGTCCCCCGTCCACCTCGGGCTGGGTGACTGCAGGCCGTGGGATGTGCTGCAGCGTGCGGCCGCTCCTGCAGCCCGGCAGTGTCCCCAGTGCCTCGTTTAACCTTCAGGTTTGTGTTCAGGAGGGATTTTTGCTGAAGCTTTGACTCTTCTAAGGTAGCTGGGACAGGAGGCCACGGGCTACCTCTGCTCTCCATGTCTGTGCTCTGGTGAGGAGTGAATGACGTTGTGTCTCCCTCCCCTCTAGGCAAGGAGTCTGCTCTATCAGTTCCACCTGTTACCCTGCATCCCCTGCAGCCTGCATGACCTGTGCAAGCTGTGTGGGACAGGAATGTGGGACAGTGGCTTCATCCCCGCCGTGGAGTGCTCTGGCCATCACCCGGAGTCCGAGAGCTGCCCGTACGGGGGACTGGCGGAAGTGTCTTCTCCTAAACCAGGAAGCGAAGGCAAGAGAGGCTTGAAAACACGGGACGTCTTTGCTTTCCGAAAATAGCTGTAGAGGAACAGGGTGTGACAGCGGAAGAGGGAAAGGCAGGAAGGACGTGCATCGGGAAAAATGTTGAAGACAAAAATGGAGGGATAGCTCGTCAAGACTCCTGAGAAGACTGAAAGGTGGAGAATGGACGAGGAATGAAATCACTCTACAGGGAAAGCAAATTCCAGTGCTCTGGTGGTGGAGCCTGAACAAGATGCATCAAACCAGGAACAGTGTTTGCACGTGTTTGGGTTTGATTTTGTTAGAAACATGAAGCTTTTCTAGGTCTTAACAAGGACTTTTTATTCTGCCTCTGGGATTGGTCTGGTTGGCAACCAGAACTTCGTTACTTGCTGGTGAGAAATGAGAACACTCAAGAGAGCCGAGTACGACCAGCAGCGTTTGTGGGTCAGGTGGAAGGAGCAGAGCTGTGGCGAGACCGCTCTCTGCGATGGCCCTTCATCCAGAGCATGCCACACGCACGCACTCTCTGCGTCAACCAAAACGTGCAGCTTAGTGGCTTCTCTCTAAAGCCATAAAGACCATTTTAATTATAATCTGCCAAAAATAAAACTGCAGACTATTGGGATTGTGGGGAAGGTGTCTGCTTCGTTGGCGAGGAAGAACTGGTCACCTGAAGGTCTTGTCTCTTGCCTTTTCTTTTTTTTGTGTGGTATGCTGGCTGGCATGATTGTTTCCCCATTTGTACAGAAAGTGTACAGCCACAGGTCTTAAAGCACTGCTTTCTGTAGTCAGGGTATTTCATAGACACCTTTCAAAGTTTACTTCTTCATGACCTTACAGCAAAGCTGTTTCTTTATGCTGACAACTACAGACTTTAGACACTTGTTTATGGAAGCCTGTTGCTTCCAGTATGTTTCCCAATGCGTTTCCTTTGGCTCTCCTCAATTACTGAATATTTACTGCCCTTACCTGCCTTGCCATAGGCTGTAGCACATACACTCCAGGTGGGCTGTAGGCTCAGCAGCTGGTGCCAGTAGCGCACCCTCTTCCCCAACTCAAAGTGAAAATGAAACTTGGTTTGTTGCAGTCATTTTTGCTGAGCTCCATTTCTACTACAGGTTTCCCTTGAAGTGTTTTTGAAAGCACAGCGTGTTTCTCCTCTTGTCTTCTATAAAATTTGCCAACTAGAAGTGGAGCTGGGGCCTTGAGCAATGCCATGTTGCCAAATGTCCTTACCAAATTCAGTGACATCCAAAGGCGTGTCCTGAGCCAGCATTTGTGCCAAACAGAGCCAGGGGAATGGTTTCCTTGTAAGAATGAAAGAGGAGACGAGGTGACAGTGGGCTGTGCCGGCTTGGCTGCAGCGCTCTGCATGGTGTATGAAGTCTTGCAGCCTTTCCTGATTTTTTACTCCCTCTAATTTCAACTGCACTGCTTCTCTTATACAACTGTGTCTTGGTCTGGCGGGGTGCGAAGTCCACGCTCACTTTTCAGCTTTGCCTATCAGGCATGTTTGTCCTGTTAGCAGCGTGTGTGGAAAACCCCGTGGCCTCGTGCGTAGCGCTGCAGCGGGTTCCTGCATCCAACAAGCAGATTTCCCTAAAAATCTTGTTGCAAGGTCTTACCCACAGCCTGCTGTGGAGCCCACGTGCTGCGTACCTGCTGGGAAGGGAGGCCGGCAGCTGGGATGCTGCGTGTGAAACAACACATACCACGTCCACGCTGCGTTCGTAAGGGGAAGAAGACTTGGCCCTATGCAGGCACCATGCCAAAGAGTGGCTGTTGTGTGGCAGACGGACAGTTTGGCTCCTGATTTGTGTGCCTTTAATCCAGAGGGTGAAAACCTTCCCCTTGATGAGAGCAATGGTGAAGCCTACTGTAGTATCGCACACCTCCAAAATAGCCCGGCTTCGAGAAGTGCCGAGGCTGCACGGCTGCAGGTGCGCGCTGGGGTTGTAGGAGGTGACACCTCACATAAGGGCTGCTGGCTGCTTTGCTGTGAAGCAGGGAGTTCTTTGGGATTTAGGATGTTTTGGTGAACAATAAAAGTTTGTGTGAGGCATTTGTGTGGTGCGTTGCTGTACAAGCTGGGTGCTGTACCTTATAGTCGGGGGACAGCGCTTGGCTAGACGCCGTCCCCACAGCTTGAGCCGGTCCTTTTGCAGCCGTACAGAGATGTGTTGGGTGCTGGGTCTGCGTCGCTCTCCCCAGGCTCCGCTGATTTCAGCCTGGGGACGTGTGGCAACACTGGATGTATTCATCTAGACGCAAGCTCTAAGCGTCAGTGGCTGAATTAGGGTCAGAAAAACCACGTCAGAAAACGCCAGGAGCATCTTCCTGCAGAGCAGCTTGGTGGCACGCGGGCCGGCGCCGGCCGCCCATGGGGACAGCA